GACGATGTTGTGCGCGTGGGCGTCGACGAGCTCCGCCTCCATCACCGCCTTTCTCAGCTCCGTCAAATCCATGCCGTCGACTTTTTCTGCGAGCGTTGAACCGGGAAAGCTTGAGGTCGGCAGCCTTTTATAAATTATAACAGACGGAATTTTTTATTTTTTATACCGAAAGAGAGATCATTGATTTTTCTTCAATACGTCGGTTTTAACGGTCCAAAACTGTAATATCACTTGTGCATTTTTCTCCTCTCTTGTGGTGGTGTGTAGGGATTTCGAACTTCTATCTATATGGGTATAAATGGAAGAACACCAATAAAATTATCTTGAATGTTAGGTGTCGGGTTTCCAACATTTTTCTCTTGTAATTTTAGTTTCATTATTACTTGATTTTCACTTTCGTACTCATTTTTAAATTCTGGAGGAGTACATTAGTCGAAAAGCTTGACAATATTTAAAAAAAAACAAAACAAAATTTGAAATTCTTTGTCAATAATTATGAGTTGTTGTTTCTCCCGCCTTTTTTTCTCTCAGTCACCAAGTTTTTATTTTTATTTTTCTAACTGTGATTGTTTATGGTTGTACATTGTTGAAAAAAATTTCAGTTTTAGTTTTCAACTGTAATAGCTTACATGGTGTTATAAACTCACACATATTATAACAAGTGTTTTTTTATTCTATAAATTAGTCATCCACTGATATTATAACAAGTAGATTAGTAACACTAGCTACACGGCACAACGAAAATCACCACAAAAAATTATTCATATGTAGTATTGATAGGAAGAGTACCATGATAGCACCAGAAACTAATTTAATGCAAACACACACCTTTTTAATTTAGAATGGGAATTAAAATTCTTAACTTGGTGTTTTAATTTTCAAAGCATTTACTGAATCTTGGTGACAAGACCGACGCTAGCGCTGGGCAACTTGATCCTCTAGGTCCCAATAGAAGATGAAAGCGACCTTCAATTTATCTAATTTTTTTTTGTGTCTGACTTTATATTGGTTTGATTTTAGAGTTTTCTTTTTTGGGTTTACATGACAATCATTATCTCACCTTCATGTATTGCACGCTTTATAAAAATTTTGTATATCTCATTGCATACAACTTGTTCTTGTGCAGTTAAAAAGATTGTAGCTTAAGTGGTTAATTAAGATTGTTCTCTCTTGCACTCGAGGTCCTTTATTTCCCCCCTCTCCCAATATTATTTGTATAAAAAAAAATAGTTAATATAGCTTTGAGATTTTTCATTACGTAAATTAATAATTAGTAGTAAATACATAATAATAAAGTGGAGTATTCCATTTTGTGAGTCTTGAAAATTAAATGCATATGAGCCTTTCTCTCACGGCAGATACAATATTATCTTTAGACCCGTCCATCACGTGGTTTGCATATGGCAAGCAGTTTTCCATAGACTGTTTGACAAAAGCGTAATCCTACTTGCATTGAATGTTTAAATGCCAAATGTCATACGATTTTTCCAATTTGCTAAAGTCGGGCTAGCTTCATATAAAGGATAAGGATTCGCATTTTATGGAATATACCAGCTGTACGTAGGGATAATGAAAATACTTTATAATTAATAGTACAAATATAAAATAATATTTCAAAAACAAAAATATCAAAAATATTTCCATTTAAAAAAATAACCAATAATACATATTTTTTATTTTTAAACAATTCATTGAAAAATTCCAATCATCTTGCACTATCTATATCCTCGATACTTGTAGTTATAGACACCGATATACAATAAGAAAAATACTTGGCTCGTTATATTGTATGTAAGAAGCTATTCCTTCTTGCAGATAAATTACAGTATAATATGTATACATAAATTTTTGCTTTAGTGACTATGTTTTTGTTTATATAGGAAGGAGCTAAGGAGGGCATCCAACACTTTTTGGGAGATAATTAATTTTGTAAATTAGACTACAAATTTTGAGGGGAATTAATATTAAATGAGGCTAGCTAGCTAGCTAGCTAGACCAGTCCAGAGACTTAACTTGGTGATTTACCCTGCAAGTGCAAAACGTCCATACGACAACTTGGACATGCAAGTCGCAATGTGCAAGACAACAAAAAGTTAGGTTGCACATGAGGCCTATATATAACACGCCCCCTTGATTACCAAATTCATCTCAACTTCATTCCATCCAGGGATATAATTAGTCTAATTTCATTCAATGATGATGAACACCCCAAGCACTTCTCAGCCTCACCTTGGCCCTCCTCTTTGCAGGTAAACATAACTTCCTATGTTCTTTTATTTTTCCTTTACATCTAAATATCCAAATATATAAGCATTAAGCTCCAAATATTTGATGGGCTAAGAGCATCTTCAACCAATATTGATATGTCAAATTGCTATATTTTTTTCAAAGTGTCAAATTGCCACATAAGCTATTAAATTTAAATTTAACATCTTTTTGAAGATGCTCTAACAATGACGTTCATGGGAGGGCTAGAAATTTTTCACACAATCGACTGGACTATAATTTCACATAGATATGTTTGTGGTTATAGTATCAAATTAATTATAAACTCATTATTTTTCCGACCGATTATTTACGGTATGGTGATTTTTGACACCGCAAACCGACCGGTAAACCGCAAAAAGCGGTCGGTTACCGCGAATTAGCGGTTTAAAACCGCAAGCTCTCAAGCATTCACAAAAATATAAATTCACAACCTAAATAAATAAATACACAATCTCAATTTCTCAAGCATATATAAATTCACAATTTCTTCAACTTCTCAAGCATTCACAACCTAAGAAAATTAAAGTTATAATTCCAAGTATTCCAATTAAAGTTAAACTTCTCAAACATTCCAATTCCAAATCTTTTAAAGTTACAAACCAAAAGGAAAATGCAAAAAAAAAAAAAAATGAAGAACCTCGTTGTGTTGTTTGAGCACCAATGTTATCTACAAATAAAACAACATAGTTTAGTACATTTTATTATAAGAAGAAGCATAAATAACATTAACATAAATAAACTAATTACTTACAAGTTGTCATATGTTTCATTTCCTTGTAGAATTCAACCTCATCATCCGTGCGGCTATACTTTGCGATTTGCGGTAACCACAAGTTTTGAAAATCAAATACCGCAACCGCAAATGCGGTTCGGTTCTTAATACCGTAAATGCGATTTGGTTTACCGCGATTGCGGTTTCATTGCGGTACATTATCGGTTAATTTTTGCGATTTTTCGGTTTAAAATGCCACCCCTAATTTTTTCATAATGCAGGTGCTTATGCAGCTACGATTACCTTCACAAACAAATGCTCCTACACCGTATGGCCAGGAACCCTAACCGCCGACCAACAACCTCAACTGTCCACCACAGGCTTCAAGTTAACATCCCAAGCTACCATAGCTCAGTGACCACTCCAGTCCCATGGAAAGGCCGCTTCTGGGGCCGAACCGGATGCTCCACCGACGCCTCAGGAAGGTTTAGCTGCGCCACAGCAGAGTGCAGCTCCGGCCAAGTCACATGCAATGGAAACGGCGCCATTCGGCCCGCAACCCTAGTTGAAATCAACATTGCAGCCAACGGGGGCCAAGACTTCTACGACGTGAGCCTCGTCGACGGCTTTAACCTTCCCGTTTCCGTCTCTCCGCAAGGCGGCACCGGCGACTGCCAGACCTCTACCTGCCCCGCCAACGTCAACGATGCCTGCCCGGCTGAGCTGCAAGTGACCGGGCCGGCGGGGTTATCGCCTGCAAGAGTGCGTGTACGGCTTTCAACCAGCCTCAGTACTGTTGCACTGGACCTAATGACCAACCGTCGACATGCCCTCCCACAAACTACTCTCAGATATTCGAGAACCAGTGCCCTCAGGCTTACAGCTACGCTTACGATGACATCAACAGTACCTTCACATGCAGCGGTGGACCTAACTACCTTATTACATTCTGGCCATGAGCCTACAAATTAATATATAGAAACTAGAAAAGAAAATATAAACATATATAACTCTCTATATAGAAATATTTCCCTTTCTATACTTTCGATGAAATAAAAAGTACGTGGTCCGGTGCTACTACTAGTACTGGTTTTAGCTGGCAATGAAAGCACTTTTTGAATATTTGATGATATTTGCTATTCTTTCAAGATTATCAAGAGCTAGCTAATGGATATGAGATTTACTTGTATTATTTATGTTTTACTGAGGTATTTTGAATTTTCCTAAGGTTATTATTTTTTTAGGATCTTTGAGAGGGACGATAATATATTAAACTTACACACACACTACACGGATGTTAAGACTTGAACCCAGAAACTTGCTTAAGGAAGCAATTGCTTCGAACCAAGGGTTTTCTTAAGGTTTTGTCAACCTTTGTAAAGAAGGAAAAAAAAAAAACCCTAGTATGTGCCTGTTTTACCAATTTTACCCCCATTAAAAGAAATGCGTAACAAATGTAACAGAAGGAAAACAAGTAATCAGAATTTCTTTTTCTGAAAATTGAAATTATATATTTTAAAATACTTAGATGAACACATGTCTTTTTGTAAGTAGCTGGGGACAGTAAAGAAAGACTCACTTTCAAATTAGTCACCAGACTGCCGAAAAACGAAAAATATATAATGTCACTTTTACCCCTACTAGAGAACCGTTGTAAGGGTAGTTTGGTAACTCAAATTTGTCCTTCCCAATCCAATAAGGAAATGGTAGTTCGACAAATAGAAAATGAAATGGTAAAATATCATATGTGGCCTTGTCCAAAATTCCAAGAGCCCCTCAAATGGCTGCCACAGCGTCATTCTCTTCAGCCCGATTAGCCCAAAGCCCATTATCTTCTACGGCTGCTGGACGTTACGTATATGCAATCTGGGCCTAATTTTGCCGACAGGGTTCTTCAGAGGCAAACAGTTCCCGCGGGTCTGCCCAGAGCTGGGAGTAAAATTATTCACTTGAAAAAGATGACACCGAGTCAGATCTGTGCGGCAAAACAATTTACCGTTTACCGTTGAAAGTTTGCGGGGCAAATAGCTGCAGGGTCTTAAGCCGTGGCTTCTTCTCGAACATCGCTTCCCTTTTCTTCTTCTTTTTTCTTCTGGTTCTTCCATGGCGTCGTCAAGCTCTGGAAGTTCAATTCCCGCTCTAGGTACTTTCATTGTAATTTATTATTATTATTATTTTGCACATTGCCACTCTCTGATCTTGAAAATTTGACCGTTTGGTGAGCTATCATCGCAGAGGCTGTTCAAGTGCTGGTTTCGTCACTCGCTGATGAATCCCCCATGGTCAGAGAGGCCTCCATAGCCTCGCTCAAGGACATTGCTGCCCTGTACTCTCTCTCTCTCTCTCTCTCTCTCTCTCTCTCTCTCTCTATATATATATATAAATTGTGTGTTTATATGTGTATATTGAACTGTAATTGCCATTGCAGGAGCCCTCTCTTAGTTCTCGATTGTTGCTCGGCCAGTTCGCGAGGAGGACGTCGGGTATTTTTCAGTTCTTTGTGTCTATTTTCTTGGAATTGAAGTTGGGGTTTGTTTCGATATATTTTCAATTGGAATGTGTGATGTGATCGGGTTTTTTATTTTTACTATGACGGGTTCAGCGTTTTGGTAACATGGCTGGGGTTTTCCAAGTGATGGCATACGGAGTCAGAGCCTTGGACAAGGACGAAGTCGACCCTCTTTTCATGTCTAAGATCGCGAAGATTGCCACGGCAGAGATCATCTCCTCCAAGGTATCTTGTGTTCTTCATCCGGATGATGCTCCGTTGATTTCTTAGTAGAATTACTTGCGTGATTTAATTGAAGTGTTTTGTTTGATATAGGAGCTCAATACAGACTGGCAAAGAGCTGCATCAGGCCTTCTTGTTTCAATTGGCTTACATTTTCCAGACCTAGTAAGTTTCTTAGTGTAAGCAGAAACTCACATTTTCCTATCTTACACTTATGCTATGACTTCACTCACTCTCTCCCACTCCCTCCCTCCCTCCTGGTTCTCCCTGAGATTCTTCATTAACCTTTTCTTCTACTCTGTTTTTCTTTTATTTTCTTAATTTGGCAGATGATGGAAGAAATTTTTCTACATTTACCTGGGCCAAACTCAGCTTTACCAGCTATGGTTCAGATACTAGCAGACTTTGCTTATGCTGATGGTTAACTATTAAACTATCATTTTGTTTGTGCTTTTTGTGGAGCTTGGGGTTTTCATATGTTATTGCATTTCTTTTTTGGCTTAAACTAAAATGTGTCATACCTTATTTCTTTTGCTTTAATTATATTAAAGCATTGCAGTTCACCCCACGATTGAAAAATGTGCTTTCACGGGTTCTACCTATTCTTGGAAGTGTACGAGATGTCCATCGACCGATTTTTGCTAATGGTATGCTGAATTGTCTTTGGCCTCTTTCTCCTGTTGAATTTCTCTTTGCCTTCTAATATTGTGAAGTGAAATTGGAGTTTACCAACATGTTTTCCGGTCTCCTTGGAATTAACTGAAACAACTTCATCAATCTGGCCAAAAAAAGAAAAAGAAAAAAACTAAGTCTATCTGTTTGATAGAGAAAAAAAAGGAAGAATATCTTAAATTGATTAACTCATGGTTAACATGCTTGATTGCCTGGTCCACCATGGCTTACTTAACCCATTCTCGTTTTAGGTTGGTTTCTAGTTTGGTTTTCTATATATGACTGAGTAATGCTGTCCAAAGCATGGCATCATTGAATTCATAAACACAGAGATGCTGGCCATTAGTTTGCGATTAATTACAAGACTCTTCCATGTGCCTGTTTTTACGTAAAGTTTGTAAGAAGTGTTTATTTGGAAGTTGTAATTTGCTGCACATTTTCCGTTTCTCTCTCTCTCTCTCTCTCTCTTGCTTGCTAGTATTTGACACAGGTTAAGTAAAACGATTACTAAGCTAATTTTACTCAATTATTTTCCCTAGTCATGTTCACTGGCTTTGTCCTATTCTTTTCAGCTTTTAAATGTTGGTGTCAGGCTGTTTGGCAATATAGTCTTGATATCCCTTCGCATTCACTTCTGGATGGTGACATCATGTGAGATCAAGTTTTTGTTGTTCGTAGTGTTACATTTTCTTCAGTCCCTTTATTTTTCGTGTGCTCGTTTCATATTTTATGTCTAAATGACTAAAAACTGCAGGTCATTTCTGAATTCTGTTTTTGAGCTTTTGTTGAGAGTTTGGGCGGCTTCACGGGATCTAAAGGTTTGAAAAGTATTTTAGCTCTATTTCTTATTGTAATAACTCACTATTTTCCATTGTGATTCTGTTTTGTTTATCTCCATTGCCATTTATTTTCTTTTTTCCCTGTATCTATGGCATGCTTTCGTTCTTTTTTTTATTTTTTTTATAAGAGAACCCATTGCATCATTTTATTGACATGATCTGGTTTTGATTAAACTCTTTTTTGAGTAGGTTCGCATATCTTCTGTAGAAGCATTAGGTCAGATGGTTGGCCTTATTACCCGGACACAATTGAAGGCGGCTTTACCCAGACTTGTCCCCACAATATTGGAATTGTAAGATTGATTTGTCATACATTACTTCTTCATCCTGGCTGTATATGTTTATGATTCTGCAATATACATATATGTTTTATGTACAAGTCTTTGTTAAAATAGTTTCTTTCTGATAGTGTGCTTATATTTTTTCAAGGACAAACATGGATACACACATCCTCACTAATTTCACATCCATACACATCAATAAGGGTCATACGTTTTTTCTTTTTCCTGTCAATCAGGTATAAAAGAGATCAAGATGTTGCCTTTTTGGCAACATGCAGTCTTCACAATCTCTTACATGCTTCTTTACTGTCAGAAAGTGGTCCTCCTTTACTTGATTTTGAGGTATGCACACTATATCACGTTCTTTTGTTTTTAATGAGTTTGGCCGTTCTGAAGTTTCAGAATACTGCTTTTGCAAAGGTTGAGCTTGTTGATGTTCTTTTTTTTCCTGGTTCAACCTTGTTACCAATTCTCAAGGAATGAAACACCTAATCTGTTGTAAAGTGAGACCATGAGTATGGCCTTATCATGGAGGAGGTCGTAGTGTACATCATAGGCTTTAATTACCAAAAGTTGTTTTCTCTGTTGGGCTACCACTAATTTTGTTATGCATGTGCGAGATGAAAAAAATAATCTATTTGGTGCTGGTTTGTTCTCATGATGGTTTGCAGGAGCTCACAGTCATTCTATCAACACTCCTGCCGGTGGTTTGCATCAATAATGACAACAAGGAGCATTCAGATTTCTCAGTTGGACTGAAGGTGTAAAAATGTATTTCTTTATGATTTGTTGAGAGTAGAATCCCAGATCATGAGTTAAGCCTTGCCTTACATTCTACTAATTTCATTATGAGTACTATTATTTATTGCTATTAATTTTCCATCTGTCAAATTGGTTGAATTTTGAGATATTTTCTTTACATCTTGCCTTTATGTGTACTTTATATCTTCTTCCTTGGATTAGCTAGCATGTTTTATCCTGAATAACTTTGACATTTGTAACAAGTAGGATACATTTTCTGTTCTTTTTTCCCAGAGCAACAAAAATTGCTTCCTGCCTTTTGCTTCATGAACTTTGTCCACTTAGTTTTCTGTGGTTTTGTGCTGATGTCGATGGCTAACTGTTTCAGTAGTCAATAATTATGTTACTTCTTTTTCTTGTGGGCAGACATATAATGAAGTGCAACGTTGCTTCCTGACAGTTGGTTTGGTATACCCTGAGGATTTATTTGTGTTCCTTATTAATGTGAGTATCATTTTCTTCCCCAAGTGTTTATTCTTATTGCTAAGTATTTATCTAACATACAAATGAAGTTGGTGTTCTTTTTCTGTATTAGTTTTCAAAGTATAACTAAAATTTTGTGGTCTCTTTTGTTTTGTGCATGTCTGCTACCAGAAATGCAGATTGAAGGAAGAACCTTTGACGTTTGGTGCGCTATGTGTTCTAAAACATCTCTTGCCAAGGTTTCTTTACCCTCTGTTGCTTTGTCAGTGGCCTCTATTTCGATTCTCTTACATGATCTGACATCCTTATGATTTTATTTGGAGGCTATCTGAAGCTTGGCACAGTAAACGGCATAATCTTGTTGAAGCTGTACAATTCTTGCTAGATGATCAAGATTTAGGTGTCCGAAAGGTGCTTTCAGAGGTATGTCGTATTAATTGATTGTTGTAAGCCTTGGGTTTTTCTTTTTTGCAAGACTTTCAGTAAAACACTTATGTCATTCCTGTCTCCTAATTTCAGATTGCTTTCCTTTGGTGTAGTTGATTGTCGTTATGGCTTCACATTGTTACTTAATTGGTCCATCTGGGGAGCTGTTTGTGGAATATCTTGTGCGTCATTGTGCTTTAACAGATAAGGATAGTAATGACCTTGAGAGGTCCAAGGATGTATCAGGCAACCCAGATATTCCTTTCCAATACAAGAGACTGGAGGTTTGCATCTGATTCTATTGATTCCAAAACATAAATGCTGCGACTGATCTTTTTAACTGTCACAAAAGAAATTTATAGTTTGATGGTCTTAACATTTATCTAACATTAGCAGGAAAGAAAATGATAAAATCTTGATGAATTATGGCCCTGAAAATCTCTCATGTCAGTTACAGAATAAGGTGGATTTTTCCTTTAATATTAAAATCATAGCGCTTTCTAAGGGTCAGATTTGTGGAGGAGATTCAAGGTGTTTATAGGAAAGTAATACTTGTTGCCTAATATAGCATTTAATACTAGTTTGCTCTTCTTAGGTGAAAATTGGGACACTTTGTCCAGCAGAGTTAAGGGCAATCTGTGAAAAAGGCCTTCTTCTGCTGACTATTACGATCCCAGAAATGGAGGTATGCCAAATTGGCAATTCTGCATTCAGTACATCTGCTGTTATCTGATTGTTTGAGCTTCGGAAGGGGTTTCTGTGTACAAATATAAATGGTAATGTTATCTGAAATAAAATAAAAAACTTTTCTATTTTTGTGCAGCATATACTTTGGCCTTTTCTACTGAAGATGATTATTCCACAGGCTTATACTGGTGCAGTTGCTATGGTAGGACTTCCTCTGCATCCTCATATTATGCCCCTTTTTTGCATGGAGGTTATTTTAGATACCCAAAATTCAGCTGTTTTATTTGAATGCAATTTCCTAGTTTGTGGGGGCATAGATCTCATGAATTTTAACACTTTCTGCTGCTACAGGTTTGCAGATGCATCTCAGAATTGTGCAGGCATAGATCTAATAGCAATACTATGCTTGCCGAGTGCAAAGCTCGTGCTGATATACCAAATCCCGAGGTAGATTTCTTGCTATATTGAATTTTAGACTTCTCCTCGTGCACTACAAGACGATTGATCTCAGCAACCCTTGTTTTACTTGTGTTAATAGGAGCTTTTTGTTCGCTTGGTGGTGCTTTTGCATGATCCTTTAGCGAGGGAGCAGCTGGCGAGTCAGATTTTGACAGTAAGCATATCATAATCATATTCCTTTTTAGCGTGTTTTTAGCTTTTGTCTTAAATTAGAAGGATTGGAGGAATTTCATGTTATTGTTTATGCTATTTCTTTTCGAAAAATAAATAAATGATATTGGTAATGCTCTGGTGACCATTCACCTTATATTGGAATAGTCTGTAATTCTTCATATATTGCCTTGCAGGTTCTTTGCTATCTGGCACCTCTCTTTCCAAAAAATATCAACTTGTTTTGGCAAGATGAGGTATATCATCATCATGCAGCTAAAAAAATACGTATTTGAGTTATATTTGGAAGGCTTTATGTTGGAATTTATGTACTGTCATGTTCTCATGAACTTCATTGGGTTAAAAGGTGGTAAATACCTTTGTGACAAAATCTTTTCAGAAAGAGAAGAAAAAGTAGTATCTGATGATTATCCGATCTGTGTTACCCAACTTCTATTGTACCAAGTTCCCTGCTATTTCAATTTTTTTGTTTGTTCTTTCTTTGGGAGGAGAAGAGAGGGGACGGTGGGGGTTGTTAGGTTTCTGTTTTGTTCCTGAGGGACTTTTCTTGTCCATCCTGTTTTTGCAATTTCTTCTATATTAAAATTGTTGTTTCCTGAAAAAGAATTTGGCAAAAGATTTCACACCTAAGAATTTACCTTTGTTTATGTGTTCTATTCTTTTTACTCAATTACAGTCAAAATGAATGACTAGTAATGCAGTCTAATTAATTTTGTTCTTTGGTAAGCTCTAGATTCCAAAATTAAAGGCATATGTTAGTGACACAGAAGATTTAAGGCAAGATCCTTGTTATCAAGAGACTTGGGACGACATGATAATCAATGTAAGTGCAATTGAACTTTGAAATTCGATGATGTTTCATTTTTCATAAGTATTCTTGATTTTTGGGCAAAAAACTCATTGGCAAAGTTTTCAATTTTTTTTCTAACATGTTTCTGTAACGTCATAGTTTTTTCATCTTCCTTCTTTTCTTTTGGAATGGGAGCAATTGGGTTCATGTTGTAAATTGGTAACATATAGGCTCATCCAGATTTCGTTGACAAAGAAGATGAATTAATCACTTTGATTTGTGTGACAGTTTTTTGCAGAATCTTTGGATGTGATTCAAGATTCTGACTGGGTGATACCCCTTGGAAATGCAATTACAAAACAGTATGGACTTTATACATCTGATGACGAACACTCTGCACTTCTTCATCGGTATTATTCCTTCCAAGCCAGTGTTGCTTTACTAGATCTTTACTAGATATGAGGAAGCAATGTTATGTTCAGTATTGCTTTATTATGCTCCAGAGAGAGACTATTCTGAATGTGAGCAACGAGTTTATGATGCTTGCTGAATATTAGAATGTGCCCAGTATCGTTGGGTGTCTCACTTTTGTGGTAGATTGGGGTTTCCACTATTGTATCGATTGAGTTGGGAGATGTTTTTAAAATTTGATTATTATCTTTTCTGTTGCAGCTGCTTTGGTGTGTTTCTTCAAAAAGTGAATGACAGGGCCTATGTCCGGGATAAGATAGATTGGATGTATAAACAAGCTAACATCACAATTCCAACAAATAGGCTTGGTTTGGCAAAAGCCATGGGGCTGGTATCTTACCATTCATAGTTAATTTTCTACTCTTTCCATCTTTCCAGCATTTATTATTCATTCCTTTTGGCCTCCCACATCCAGATTGCAGCATCCCACTTGGACACAGTCCTGGAAAAGCTAAAAGGCATTCTGGATAATGTTGAGCAAAGCATTTTTCGAAGGTTCTTGCCAGTCTTCTTGAATGCTATACATATACATTGTTAGATTCTCTCTGTGTGTGTCTCTACTCTATCCCAAAAAATTTCTAGCTTTCTTTTTTTTAAAGGATTTTGGTACTTCTCATTATGCTGATTACTTTATTCATGATTTTGTGCTTTTCACTTGTTATCCAGAGTATGTTTGCGGATCATTAAGAAATTGCCACCATGGTACATTCAAATTAAACAAAAAGAAATTCGGTGTTGAAAAAAGTAATTATGTGTTTACATTATGAAAAGCTTTATGCTGTTCATTATTATACCGCATACACTGAAACTGTGCAAACTTCCTCCTTTACTGGTGAAAATTTCAGACCACCACTTTTAAATTTCTCCACTACCCTTCAAGAGCAGTCACTGGGATGTTGTGATTATGCTTCTGGATTTAATAGTCTGTCAAGCTTCCCTTCAAAATTTTGGGAGGGAGGTGGAGAACATGCAACAAATATCATCTGCAATGGTTTTTTTTTCTCTCCCACAACATGTTGTATCTATAATGCAAGTGGAAACTTTAAGGTGGAATTCTCTAAAAACATAAAACTAGGTAACAATTTACCTAGCATGAAACAAATGTCTATCAAATAACTTTTAAGATGGGTTCCTTTGATATTTTCAGTAAATGTAGGTACTCATTTAAAAAAATTGCGAGAAATTGTTGACCCTGATGCAGTATACCTTTATTTCTTTGTTATATTATTTATTTATTTATTTATTTATTTATTTTTATCTTTTCCGAGTTCCAATTGGCAATTTACTTTTTGTATTGGTAGAAATATATATTTTCTTATCATATACAGCATAAACAATTTTGTTGCTTCATTTATTGCAGATTCTTATCTTTTTTCTCTGATGATTTTAAAACCGAAGACTCTGATGATATACATGCTGCTTTGGCTCTAATGTATGGATATGCTGCAAAATATGCTCCGTCAACAGTAATTGAAGCCAGAATAGATGCACTTGTGGTATGATGTCTCGTCTTTTTCTTATTCCCTCTAACAATCAAGAAATAAAATATTTTTTTTTCTCCTTTCTTTGTACTCTGTGAACTTATATCATGATTCGTTAAAGTGTTAATATTATTCAAAATGTAAAAGTCTAAGAATAGAGAGCAGGTGCTCACTCTCTGTATGCTTCACATAAGCTTAGCCATAGTTTCTGGCCAGGGATGTGGGTGATACAGGTTGTTCATTCATACAGATGCACAAATATACATGCATTTCCTTGACTAAGAATATCCAGTAGTTGTATTTCTTTAGTATAATGTGATGTGAGTGTAGACTCACACAGATACTGGAAATGAAGTCATGTGGTCTCATGGCTTGAATTTTAGTATAATGCAATCTCAGTGTAGACTTACACAATATACTTGGAGTATTAAGTCACAAGGTCTCATATGCTTGCGCACAAATTCACTCGTGCACGTCCATGTACATACAACAAGATGCACATTTAAAAGAAACTTCGGCAGCCTTTTCTCCCTTTTAAAGTGTAAATACATAATGTACTAAGAATTGATAGCATGAAAAGAGGAGATTTGTATAATATAAGTTAGTTAGGTTTGCCACATCATTTTGGTAGTTTAATTTTAATGAGAATTTCATAAAAGTTTACAAATTCCCGGTTCCTATTGCTTCGAATTCTGACCCTATAATGAATTTAAAAAGGCCAATTTATTTGTAAGTAATCATAAGAATTTATAAATTGATTACTTATTTTTAATGTAGGGGACTAATATGCTCTCTCGGCTTCTTCATGTGCGCCACCCTACTGCAAAGCAAGCAGTCATTACTGCTATCGATTTACTAGGTTTGTCGAAATCATTAGAAATTGGGTGTCATTTTTACACTTACTTATTTTTAAAGCTGCTGCTGTGGGCTTGGACTTATTGTGTTTTATTAAGGTTTTTAGTATGCTCTTTATATGAAAATTTTGTTGATAAAACTTTGGCGACTCTCAGTTTATAAACCTTGTTCATTTCCATGTTTTTGTTGATAAAAAAGTTTGAACTTCCAAGGGCTTGTTCCTCTTGGGTTGGTTTACATCTTGCTAAGAGTAGGTTGTCTCTTGAATTGATTCTTTCTTTTTTATCACCCCAGGGAATTTTGTTTCTTCATGTGTTTTTCCATAGAGATTGGGGCCATATGCGTGGTTGATTCTTGTTCATGTGGTGCTTGTATAATTGATTCCAAGGGTGTAGGTCACATACTTTTTCTTTTGGTTAAGTAAACATACTCTCGTTGAAAAAAATTTGTGTAATGGTACATAGTAGACAAACTAAGTCTTCTGATCAATGCCTAAGAGTACTTACATCCACCTGAGAACATCATGAAATATAGACAAAACCCACAACAGCTTCCCATGCTAATTTCTTTTTTCAGTCAATGGTCCAACTTAAACTCTAAAAGAAACATAGGTGATGGCATGAGAGATACTGTTTATGTAGTAGATTGGGTGATGGTGTATACATGTTTTGTTGTAAAAGGCTGCCATTAATGTGGGATATTATAATCACAATCCTCAAAATAGGATACAATTGCTCTTGCATAATAGGATGCAGTTGCTCGCTGGACACATTTGTTATGTTCTGTGCTACATGGTTTAGATGACTTGCATTCGTTAGTACAATGCAACTTTTCAGAAACTTGTGTGTTGATATTTCAGGTCGTGCTGTCATTAATGCTGCAGAAAATGGTTCATCATTTCCATTAAAAAGAAGGGACCAAATGCTTGACTATATATTAACTTTAATGGGACGAGATGACAGTGAAAGCTTTTCAGATACTAGTCTGGAACTTCTGGGCACGCAAGTTAGTAATACTTTTGGAGTTATTGTGTTTGTTTTGCCTGAAAAACCTTGGAAAATCTGGGAAAACACAATTTTCTAGGTGTTTGACTCAATTTTCCCCAATTTAGGGAACCATATTTTTCCTAAGATTAGGAGAAACCTGGAAAATGTTTTTGGGGGATATTTTCCAATACAACTTTAAATATAAAATTTTTAAAACTTAAAAGTGTCATTAAATCTACACCTATTTCCTTTTAGAAATTATTCCATTGCAAATCAATGCCGTAGCAAAATGAATACTTGGAAGGAAAAAATTTCACTAATATATTTCCAAGAAGAAAATGATTGCATGGTAAATATTTTTGAAACAAACTCCCAAAATGTGATGGTCAACTTCTGTTGTACCTTTTCCAATTTTCTCACTCTTTATTAATTTCTACAGGCCCGTGCTTTAAGTGCCTGCACTACATTGGTCTCTGTGGAGCCAAAACTAACGATTGAAACCAGAAACCATGTATTAAAGGTTTGCTGTTTATTATGATGATGCACTATTTGTAACAGGAAACACACTTCTTGATTGGTTGTTGCTTAATATATATATATATATATTTTATTGTGATAACTTTGACAGGCTACCTTAGGGTTCTTTGCTTTACCAAATGATCCAATAGATGTCGTCAATCCTCTTATTGACAACCTCATCACTCTCTTGTGTGCGATTCTTCTTACAAGGTATATTAAATCACATATATTATGCTTTTTGGAAGTGCTTATTCTTCTCAAACATCATTCTGTCATCATTTTGAAGTCTTGCTCAACTGCTTCGCCTTTTGGTTTTCTTTTTGTTTCCTTTTTTTGTGTGAAAGTTACCAGATGCTTTACCAGGTTTTTTTAATAATTTTGGAATATATACTAAATCATGTTATATGCGATTTTCTATTATTAATTTATTCAGTTGTGAAATGTTTGACACCTGCTGGATAAGACTATGAGTTTTCACTCTGGTAGGGGTTGATGATATAAAAATCTCACATCAGGAAATTCTAAGCCTTGCATCTCTCAATATAAAGAATTTTAGCTTCTTCAGTCATTGTCAACAGGTTTTGGGTTGGACAGTCTCTAAGTCTAACGTGGTATCAAAGCGGGCAGTAATATATGTGCCGGGTTCAATTAGGTCACACATGCTCCTCACCACCTAATATAAGTGATACAGATGTTACACTTTGCAGGTCATATGTGAATTGTAGGCTTCTCCATTCATTACCAGTTTGTTTTGGGTTGAAGGCTCCAACTTTAACATACGTATAATGTGTCTTATGTATCCAAGCGTCTCTCTAAAACATACATATTAGCTATTTCCTTGGAGTTATATGTGTTTCTTTTCTTTACAATTTAATGTATAATGATTATGAAGTTATATGTTTTATGAATTAATTAATTAGGGAAATTCTATGGGGTTTATATATTCCATACATATCTGCTTTATTTACAATGTCGTGCATATTGCTTCTGATTAGCATTATATGACAATTTAGTGGAGAAGATGGGAGAAGTCGAGCAGAGCAGTTATCGCACATCTTGAGACAAATTGATCAGTATGTTTCTTCACCTATGGATTATCAAAGGAGAAGAGGCTGTCTTGCAGTACATGAGATGCTTCTCAAGTTTCGAACAGTTTGCATCACTGCACATTGTGCCCTGGGCTGCCAAGGAAGTTGCACGCACAAGAAGCAATTTGACCGTAACTTGCATGGGAACTTTTCTAACTTACCATGTAAAAATGTCTCTTGAAACAGCTTTCCCTTTATTTTTGCTTTTGCCTATCCTTATTCTTATCATTTTGTTCAACTGCCAGCGGCTTTTGTATTGCCAAGTCGTGAGGCCTTGTCATTGGGAGACAGGGTCATTATGTATCTTCCACGTTGTGCAGACACTAATTCTGAAGTTAGAACAGTCTCTGCTCAGGTAAGGTTTTTGCAGACTTAGCCTTTTTTAAGTGTCACTTAAGTTACATTTGGTTAATCCCCTATAGTGAAATATGTTACCCTCATTGTTATCTGGAAATGCACATGGATATCTAAATATTGTTTCTCAATTTGGCTGCATGTGACCTCTCTCTCTCTCTCTCTCTGTCTCTCTCTCTCTCTCTCTGTATAGATTCTTGATCAGCTTTTTAGCATCTCACTTTCACTTCCACGGCCTGAAACTTCCAGTTATGGTGTGGACATAGAATTGTCCTACAGTGCTTTATCGTCCCTTGAGGATGTCATTGCTATTTTGAGGAGTGTAGGTTCATTTCCAGTTCTTTTCATACATTTACCTGCTTTCTTAATTTTTCTTCTGTTCTCTAATCATATCGTTCATGCGAAACCATGGGTGGACAAATGTAAAACTACGGAAATCTTTTGGTTCTTCTATATTCCCAGGATGCTTCTATAGATCCATCTGAGGTTTTCAACAGAATTATTTCCTCTGTCTGCATATTACTGACAAAAAACGAGGTAATTGCTTTTTTGATGAATGTGTTTTTCAAAATTGAAACCAATAGTCCAACAACTTCATCTTATTCTCGAGAAATCCTTGCAGCTTATAGCTACTCTGCATGGTTGCACATCAGCTATATGTGATAAGATCAAGCAATCAGCTGAAGGGGCCATTCAAGCTGTAATTGAGTTTGTCACAAGAAGAGGGAATGAGCTGAGTGAAGCTGATGTTTCAAGGTTACCAAATGATGAAATTTTAAATTAGTAACATATTTCAAAAGGGAATACAGAATGTAGAGAGCTTTTCTCCTTTTGATTAAGAAATAGATTTACATGTTCTCTCACTTTGATAGTATATGTTGTGTGTGTGTCCATAGGACGACCCAAGCTCTGCTGATGGCTGCGACCCATGTAACTGAGAAGCATTTACGTCAGGAAACTCTTGCTGCTGTATCTTTTTTAACCTATATTATATAGACCGCCCCCTTCTTAAAAGGATCCCTCTTACTATGAAAGAAAGGGACCACCCTATTGGGGCCTGTCTCGCAACGTGCTCCAATGATCTAAACTGTATATCTTTGGGTCTCCATTCAAGGATCATCCTTTGAAAAAAATCAACCAAGTAGGAAAGTTTTTAGCCATTTGATTATCATTGTAATTTTCACTGCTTATGGGAAAAATTGTAATTTTCTTTTCATAAAAAGAGGAATCTCGCTTTTGGAGCTGCTTCTCTAATCTCAGTGTATAACTCTTTATTGTTGCCTGATTTAACCTCTTTGCTGGTTGTGTTAGAAACGTCGGTACAGCTGTCTATCTTTAATCCTTACTTCTGATAGGTAGTTCTGTTTTTCTTTTGGTTCTCTTTCCAATATTTGTGAAGTATCCTTAACTGCCAGAAGATTTCTTCTCTAGCTGAGAGCACTAGTTCGAAAGTTGTCTTCAATGAAGTTTTGGCTACATCTGGAAGGGATATAGTAACAAAAGATATATCTAGACTACGTGGTGGCTGGCCAATGCAGGATGCATTTTATGTGAGTCCCACGTGGCTTTCAGTTAGGATATTTTTATCTGTATCAGAGTTTTTGTTTACTGAGAGAGAGAGAGAGTGTATGTTCTCCTTGCTTTGATTTGTTCAGTTTGATCTTAACAGTATTTATTCAGTCTTCTTCTTAGCTTCTTGTAAGTTTATTATTTGACATTTGTCCTGCAGGCATTTTCCCAGCATACAGTTCTTTCATCTTTGTTCCTGAAGCATGTGATAGGTGTCTTTGGCCAGTATCCCATACCTAAAGGTGATTCAGTAAAAGGAGACAATCCTAGCCATTTGGTTGACGGTCAAATGGAGGATGACATTCTACAAGCTGCTATTATTGCTGTCACTGCATTTTTCAGGTTTCTAGAATTAGCCTTGATTATCAAAATTTCAGATGTATTTATTCAGGTTAGTCGATTTTATTCTGTTCCACTTTTTTTTTTGGTAGGGGTGGTGGTAAAATAGGCAAGAAGGCTGTTCAACAAAATTATGCTTCTGTTCTTGCTGAACTCACTCTCCAATTGGGAGCTTGTCATGGTCTAGCTAGCTGTGGTCAACATGATCCATTACGGTAAGCATCTAGTACCCACATTTTTTATATATTGGTAATGTTATGTTGCCAGACAGTTTGACAAGATTAGATGCTTGTGTTGCCAGATTGGGAATCTGGACCACCTAATTAATGGCTCAGATTTTTAGTCTGGAAAAAAGAGCATGTCCGCTATGTATATTTTGTTCTTTTTCCAGAGAATTTGACGTGTTAAGCTACCAGATTGTCAGTTAAGACAGCACATCCAAATACGATTGTACCTCTTGTTTGACAGTTTGATGCCAACATGTCAGACTGTGATTGGCAAGAAACTTACCCTGTATAAAGATCAACACGCACATGTGAGTTGTAAGAATGTGTAGAGTTTAACTGTTAAATTTGTTATTTTGTCCCACTTTTCATGCTCTTTCAGGGCTCTTCTAACTGCATTCCAAGCGTTCTGTGAATGTGTTGGAGATCTTGAGATGGGAAAGGTAGAAAAGGATATAAAGACAACAATTACTCAGCTATTTTATTATGGATTCTTCAATTGTTTCTTGCAATCTGAAGGGAATGTAATTTAGATATACTATCTATAGATTCTGGCTAGAGATGGAGAGCATAATGAAAATGAGAGGTGGATCAATCTTATTGGAGACATAGCGAGCTGTATTTCTATAAAAAGACCAAAAGAGGTAATATGGTTGACTTGAGACGATTTCATATCATTGTTTTAAATATCTAGTTTTATACGGTGATCTTTAGTGGAACTTATTAGTTGAGATGAAAACAACATATGACAAATGACACTAGGTGGAGACTTCTAAGAGATAAATGTTTAAGCTGTGTTCTACTTCTATCACATTATAGTGAATTTGTTGATAGTGGTAGCTTGCCAGTTTCTTATGGACATTTTTTTTTAAAGGTTCAAAGCATATGTGTAATTTTAAGTAAATCATTAAATCGACACCAAAGATACCAAAGGGAAGCTGCTGCTGCTGCCTTATCAGAGTTTGTCCGCTACAGGTATACGCAATATGTCAATTAATGCTCTCAAATTTTTATTGGTTTCATTTATTTCACTTTACTTAGTATATAGGTTATTATTTATTTCCATGATATGTATTGTTATCGTGGGATCTGGTTGTTGCAAACATTGTTTGTGTGAAATGTCATTGTCGGTAATGTTGCTACGTTTCCGTTCACCTTTGTGATTACCTGGGCCTGTATCATTGTTCCTGTCCATAATAACAATTGTTTTCTCTCTTTCCTTCAGTTTCTTGTGTGCTTTTGAGATTCAATTTAGTTCTTTGCTTATTGTTAGTTCAGTTGCTTTTTTGTGTTATTAGTTAAAATGATTGGTCAACTTTTTATTTGAAGTTATTAAATAATATTCTTGACAATGCAGTGATGGATTTGGCTCCCTGTTGGAGCAGATCGTGGAGGTGTTGTGTCGACATGTATCAGATGAGTCTCCAACAGTTAGGCGCTTGTGTTTGAGAGGACTAGTACAGGTTTCCCGATTCTTACACACAATTGTCAAGAATGATTGTTTAGATTTTTATGCATGATGCTCTTTCCTTAGTTTTTCTTTTATAATTATCAGTTTTTGCTGAAAAGCTTTCCATGTATGAATATGTGCACTTCTCACTTCACTCATTGGTGTTTGTATGCACGTGCTTTTAGTTCTATTTGTTTTGAGGTAAACATTGCATTGTTTGTTGGAAAAAGAATTCTACTGTGGTATAGAATGTCATACATTTTCTTTGGCTTTCAAGAGAAAAGAGCCATTTGATTTCTTTTGGACTTTGGACGATGTTTTGTAATCATATGTCCATTCTCAATCTTGTTATTTATCTGTGTGCCTGAGAAAAATGTCTGATTTGAACATTTTTGTTTGATTGTTTGTCCTTCATATAGAATTATATGCCTATGGATCTTATTATTTCTTGTTGTATTCTATTCTTATTTTCATTCTTTGCACTGTGGAGGAAATGACATTTCTCAACTTTTGAGTTGCAGATACCTTCAATCCATATGTTGCAGTACACAACTCAAGTTCTGGGTGTAATATTAGCTTTACTCGATGATTCTGATGAATCTGTGCAATTAACTGCAGTCTCTTGCTTACTCACGGTGACTCCCACTCCCTTTTTCTCTCATGCATGTTTGTAATTTAATTTTTAAGAATTATCTTTTGATTACTTTTTTTTTTCTTCGTAATCATTGCTTTACTATCAATTTTTGAGTACTCATTTCTCATGTATTAGATGCTTGAGTCATCACCCGACGATGCAGTGGAACCCATTTTGCTTAATCTTTCTGTACGGCTTCGAAATCTTCAGGTGCAGTACTTCACTCTTTAATAATATTGTTCAAGAAATTATTTATGGTTCTTGGTACCTCCTTTGTTACCATATTTTGATTCCGTATGATAAAATGTTTCCAAAATACTTGTAAAGTTGCGTACTTGAACTACTTGTCTTCAAGGATATGTTGGTAGTTTATATTTTAGGCTTATTTATTGTTTTCCTCTTGTGCTTTACCGAAAATCTCAATTCCCCCCCTCCATTTCAATTGGGACAATGTGCCACCTGTGATTTTATTCGTGTCCCACGTCCCCCATTCCTCCAATTTTCAATGTACATTGATTCTTTTTAGCGAAAGAGGTTGCCAGTAGTATCAGAATTTGCCAACATCCTGGTGACATATCACTGTGGGAGTGGCAACCTCCACTCCCACATCAATGCCCACACTCCTAAAAATTTGGTAATTCATTACAAAGATCTAATCATGAACGTTTCCTTCCTAAATTAATTTTGGTATTGAGTCTTTGGAGGAGCTGATAATAACACTTTCTATAAACATTCTTCAAATCCCTTTACTTTGCACGTACTAATCATGACATAATACTGGGAAAGGATTAAAAAGCCTCTTCTAGAAATGAAGGGAGGAGGGACTTTGGTAAACAGTGGAAATTAACTTTTGAGGGATGTTTCATTTGATTTTGCTCATATGTAGACTAATGTACCACATGTTTGAAACAGATATGCATGAACCCAAAGATGCGAGCTAATGCTTTTGCAGCTTTTGGAGCCCTAAGCAACTACGGAATTGGGGCACAGCACGAAGCATTTCTTGAGCAGGTCTCTTACTCATTCTGATCCTATGAAGAACTAACTTTGTTTTCATTTTTAAGAACTGTACCCGTTTTCTTTGATGACCTATGAATGGTCAATGTGAGCATAGACATTATTTAGATTATCATGGTTTAAATTTTTTTGGCTGTAGTTTACTCAATTATTGTTCTAACTTAGCCACTTGTTTAATTATTTATGGTTAATGGAATAACTTTCCAACTTAACAGGGGTTTACCTATAAAAGCTCATATAGTTGTAATCTCTTTTCTAGGTACATGCTGCCATTCCACGCTTGGTCCTGCATTTGCATGATGATGATGTTAGTGTGCGACAGGCTTGCCGGGTAATTGTTTAAAATCCCTTTTACATCTTCTGTGCACGAAGCTTTAGAGATACACTTTTGACTTATTTTTTCTTTTAATAAATAGAGTACTCTCAAACGAATTGCCCCCTTGCTGGAAATGGAAGGATTGTTGCCCTTGTTCAACATGCATTGCTTCAATCATGATCATCGGTATCCCTTGACATATTTTGAGGCCGAGTTTATGAAATGATTATGACAGTAAAACTTTATATGGATACCTGAAGTCACACCAACTGTTCTCTTTTCAGAACTGACTACGAGGACTTTGTCAGAGACCTCACAAAGCAATTTGCTCAGCATCTTCCCTCTAGAGTTGATACTTACATGGCATCGACAATACAGGTTCCCATGCTGGAAAGCCTTCATTTTTTTTATATGAAAAATATGTCTTGGTTGCCATGTTAAGTGAATGTAATGCATATTTCAACTGAAGCATGAGATAGCCAGGGTGGCTGCACCAAATGCCTATCCAAAAGGAAAGTTAAGGGTTCACTGTTTCTCCTACTCCGTACACCTACATCTCATCTTAGATCCTACACCTTCTAGCCTTCTACGAACACCTGCATCCATTTCCTTTAGAGCTTTTATAACTTGAAATTTTTTACCACGCTGCTCACTCTACCAAATGGTCTCATCCCTCTTGTGCTTGTTTGGGGTCATAGCCTTCTGTCATCACACTAAGCTGTTTAATATCGATATTCATGTTAAACATGTTAATTGACTGATTTAAATTGGCATATCATGAAGATTAATGCTTGCTATATGCACCAAGTTGGCTTGATAAGATGGCGTGGCAGCTTGCATGGCAAGCCACTGATGGCTCGTTGCATACTCTGGTAGAGTAGTGTGATATGCATAGAGTGCCATGTAAGCTGTTACATCAGTTTCCAAACTAAAGTTTATACAAGTTTTAGTGTTTTTCCTATCATAAATAATGGTTGGCCTTTATAGATACTTCATGATGTCCTGTGATTTTATGGGTATAAGCCTAGCACTTCAAATGGTTATGTTACCTGTTTCCTTTATGCGTACCAAAAGACTTGTCTTGCATTTTTTATGTTGCAGGCTTTTGATGCACCGTGGCCAATAATTCAGGCAAATGCTGTATACTTCTCCAGTTGTATGCTATCTCTGTCAGATGATCAGCACATTTTGACTCTCTATTATGCACAGGTCAGTTTCAGACAAGCGCTATCTTTTTATGACATAGCAAAGACTAACATAGGATATTGATATTCACAAAGATTCATGGCTTCATATAGGTGTTTGGAACATTAGTAGGCAAAATGAGTAAGTCAGCAGATGCGGTCGTGAGAGCAACATGTTCTGCTGCTCTTGGTTTGTTATTAAAATTCTCAAAGTCATCCTCATGGAAAGCAGCTCGAGTTGATCGTGTGGAATCAGGTCGAAGAAGCCATGATTCTTCAGCCTAAAATGAAGCAGAAATCTATAAAGGAGAAATTCAAATGGTCATCTTCATCTGTGTACTCGAAAACATATCCCCGTGTTTGATGAAGAAAAAGCAATGCATGAGGGAATGTGGAAGTCATGATGTTCATTTTCAAGGTGCAGAACGAAGCAGCTAGGGTGAATGTTTAGAGCTCTGTGTTGACCTCTTTAGTATGTAGGGTTATCGAATATCGATGTCTATAATTGTAAGTGACTTATGCCAATTTCTCAGCTGTTGTAAATCATGTCAATTGTAGACTTGTCAGTTGTCAATCCATAATTTGTGCCTAGGGTCATCTTTGTATTTGTTTGTTGTAGATTTATGTCATATGCATAATTTAGACTTGTCGTGTAACATTATGCCGATTTACCCAGAAACAAGTGAGTATGTAAAATATTTGTAAATTCCAGTGTTTAAACATACTATCGGTTATATGTGAATCATTTGTCACTTCATTTGCATATGAATTTTTGTCACGTGCTCTATGTCATACAGTTGATTTTGAGTTGAATGCTCTAAAATCACATGAATTTGAAGATTTTCATCAAATTATGAATGTTGCAATGGCAGCTCTTTCTATCTTCTGTATATGTAGAATGTGTGTGTAATTTTTGTTTAAAGATAAGAATAATGTTGCACACGCTGAAGCTGCTGCCTCCGCATTCACAATTTTTATAGTCCATGAAAGCCTGCAGCTTCCTCTGTTTACTTCTGTCAACTTCTATTCTATAAATATCTGTAGGAAATGCAGCCCAGTGAAAAGTCCTGCACGAAAGAGAGGAGATGCAAAGAGAATGAAAGTTATGTGGAAGTGGGAAAACAGTCCACGGAATTCTGATCCATGAATTCTTCTCTCTTTGGATAACAAACAAATGCATATGTATGCTCTTACGTCACCAGAAAACTCACCATTGTCTGCTAGCAATAATTTTGTTATATAATCCAAGTAAGAGGATCTACTTCATAGAGCAATAATTTTAGTTTCCATGGCTTCTCGTGATGAAGAGCGCCAGCTTCACTTTGTCTTGTTTCCTTTCATGGCCCAAGGCCACATGATCCCAATGATGGACATTGCCAGGCTGTTGGCACAAAGAGGCATCACCATCACCATAGTCACCACCCCGCATAATGCTGCCCGTTTTCGAACTGTTGTTACTCGTGCCATACAATCTGGGCTCCAAATCCGGTTGGTCCAACTGAGATTTCCATCTGAAGAAGCAGGGTTGCCGGATGGATGCGAGAACCTTGACATGCTACCTGCAATAGGTTCGGCAGATAAATTTTTTTTTGCAACTGCCCTGCTACGACAGCCGGCAGAGAAATTGTTTCAAGAGCTATCTCCCAAGCCAAATGCAATATTCTCTGACGTGTGTTTGCCATGGACAATCAGCATTGCTCAAAAGTTTCACATTCCAAGGATATCATTCAGTGGATTCTGTTGCTTTTGCCTCCTTTGCGTCCACAGTTTACATACATCCAAAGTTCTTGAGAATGTAACATCCGATTCAGAGTACTTTGTTGTGCCTGACTTCCCCGATCGATTTGAGGTTACCAAAGCTCAGTTGCCAGGACCCCTGACTCCAAATATGACAGATTTTTATGACCAACTTGAAGCAGCCGAGAAGGCAACATATGGGATAATCATGAATACTTTTGAAGAATTGGAGCCAGCATATGTTGAAGCATACAAGAAGGCGGCTAAAGTCTGGTGTATAGGCCCGGCTTCGCTTTGCAACAAAGATGACTTGGATAAGGCGCACAGAGGTAACGAGGCCTCCATTGATGAACATCACTGCTTGAAGTGGCTTGACTCATGGGAACCAGGTTCTGTAGTTTATGCTTGCCTTGGAAGTTTATGCAATCTGATAACCGACCAGCTGATAGAGCTTGCATTGGGTTTAGAGGCATCAGAAAAACCATTCATTTGGGTTGTAAGGGGATGCAGTCAATCAGAGGAGTTGGAAAATTGGATTTCAGAAGCTGGATTCGAGGAAAGAACGAAAGCAAGGAGCCTTTTGATTCGGGGTTGGGCGCCGCAAACACTCATTTTATCACACCCTGCAGTTGGGGGGTTCTTAACACATTGTGGTTGGAATTCGACGTTGGAAGGGATATGTGCAGGGCTGCCTTTAGTCACATGGCCACTGTTCGCAGACCAATTTCTCAATGAAAAACTAGTTGTACAAGTTCTTAAAATTGCTGTGAGTGTTGGGGTGGAATATCCAGTAAAGTGGGGAGAGGAAGAGAAGATTGGGGTAATGGTGAAAAAGGAAAATGTGAAGGAAGCCATAGAGAAAGTGATGGATGGAGAAGAAAGAGAAGGGAGAACAGAGAGAGCCAGAGAGTTTGGAGAGATGGCAAAGAAAGCAGTAGCAGAAGGTGGATCTTCTCACCTTAACATTACACAGCTAATCCAAGATATCATGCAACAAGGAAGTAATTGCAGAGAGAATTTCAGAAAGTGAAAGATAAAAGATAGATTTCCAAATCCCTTGTTCTTTTTTACCAGAGTCTAACATATTGAATATCCATCCTACAAGCTTAAACTAATTTGTACAGAATTCCTCTATTTACTTCTTTTACCTTATATGGTAATAGTAGGCGCTATTTCAATGTTCCATATTTAGATGCGTGGCGTGGGAGATATAGAGTTGCGTGGTTCGATACAAGTTATGAATGGAAATTAACATAACCTTTATATCGGAAAAGTATCACAATAATCTAAGATAAAATTCCACACTTGTATGGATCCATTGGACCTCATTTCACCCAGGCCAAAAGACTTTCACCCTTAATCTTTTCTCTCCTCGCTGTACACACCGATGGTCACTCACAGAATGCTTACATCTCACAATCTGCTACTTCGCAATGAAGAATTTCTTTAGCCATAGTCAAAGTTTGCTGCTGCCTAACTTCACAGTCCTTATCTTCTGGGCAAAATCACCGTGATATTTTCATCAGTTTCAACGTATCTTGCTAGTTTGGACTGAATGAGACGTGATTTAGTTTCCTGTTTTATTTGTATTTATTTCATAGATTTACTGTATATATTCCTTGTCTTTCAAGGACTTGATTCTTGCCTAGAATAGGAAATCCTTTGTGTAGACACCAAGCAAAGCATTGTATATAATTATCACATGATTATTCAATGAAAATCATCAAGACTATTCAAAACCTTAAGGACTTAGTAGTGGCAGGGGTGGTGCAAGTGGCGCTACCGCACAGGGCCCCTAATTTTTTAAGGCCCCCAAAAAAGAATTTCTTTATATTATATATATTAATTTTATAGAAATGGTATATATACTTTAGCGTGCTACATATTATTACAAAAGTGTGCGTGGCGTGAAAGGTCAGAGGTAAAATTGTCAACAAAGGTCTTTTCTAATCGAGTCATTAGAATCTTCTTCGCATAAACTAATAATGTATAGGTATGCGCTTATGTCACCAACAAAGAACAATTGCCTGGAACCATCAAACCTTTGATGTATCAGTACTTATATAAGAGACTTAAGCCTGCTTAATTCATAGAACATTATTGTTGTTCATCCCTTCCTCTTAATTTCCATGGCTTCTCATCAAGACCACCAGCTTCACTTTGTGTTCTTTCCTCTAATGGCTTCAGGCCACATGATCCCATTGATAGACATTGCTAGATTGTTTGCACAACAAGGCATCATTGTCACCATATTTACTACACCCCACAATGCTGCCCGATTTCAAACAGTTCTTACTCGAGACATAGAATCTGGGCTCCAAATCCGCATAATCCAAGTGAAATTTCCAGCTGAAGAAGCAGGATTGCCCGAAGGCTGCGAAAACTTCGACATGCTAGCTTCACCAGAATTGGTCTTCAATTGCTTTGCTGCAACTGCCTTGCTTCACAAGCCAGTAGAGAAATTGTTTGAAGAGCTAACTCCAAAGCCAAACTGCATAATCTCAGACGTGTGTTTAACATGGACAACCTGCATTGCCAGCAAGTATCACATTCCAAGGATATCTTTCACTGGAAGAGGCTGCTTCTGTGACTTGTGCGTTCACAATTTGCGTGTATCCAACGTGCTTGAGAGTATAATGTCTGATTCGGAGTACCTTGTTCTGCCTGACCTGCCTGATCAAATTGAGATGACGAAAGCTCAGCTTCCAGAGGGGACTGTGACAGCAAGACTGAAAGATTTTATTCACAAAATAATAGCAGCTGAGACTGAGACATATGGGATGATCATGAATACTTTCGAGGAATTGGAGCCAGCATATGTTCAAGCATACAAAAAGGTACCAAAGGATAAACTCTGGTGCATTGGCCCTGCTTCCCTATGCAACAAAGATGACTTGGACAAGGCACAAAGAGGTAACAAGGTGTCCATTGATGAGCTTCATAGCTTCAAGTGGCTTGACTCAAGGGCACCAGCTTCTGTAATTTATGTTTGCCTTGGAAGTATGTGTAACCTCAGCTCTGAACAGTTGATAGAGATTGGATTGGCATTAGAGGCGTCGAATAAACAGTTCATTTGGGTTGTAAGGGGTTGCAATGAAACACAGGAATTGGAGAAGTGGATTGCAGAAAGTGGATTTGAGGAAAGGAACAAAGCAAGGAGCCTCGTGATTCGGGGTTGGGCTCCGCAGACGCTCATATTATCACACCCTGCAGTTGGTGGGTTCTTGACACATTGTGGCTGGAATTCCACATTGGAAGGGATTTGTGCTGGGGTGCCTTTGCTCACATGGCCACTGTTTGGGGACCAATTTCTGAATGAGAAACTTGTTGAACAGATTCTAAAGATTGCAGTGAGAGTTGGGGTGGAATTTCCAGTGAAATGGGGAGAGGAGGAGAAGACTAAGGTGGTGGTAAGAAAGGAAAAGGTGAAGAAGGCCATAGAGAAATTGATGGATGGAGAAGAGAGCCAAGGGAGAAGAGAGAGAGCCAGAGAGTTAGCAGAGATGGCAAAGAGAGCAGTAGCAGAAGGTGGATCTTCTTACCTCAACATAAAACAGCTAATCCAAGAGATCAAAGAACTAACTGCACAAATACAAACTAAGAAGAGTTTTTTTTTTTGAAGAAAAAACTTAAGAGTTCGAATGTTCTTTTCTCAAGCATACTGCTTACTGCATACATTCTGTTCTGTAATGATTGTAATGCAGTTGTTTATTTTACTATTGTTGTTCTCATTACTGTCCTTAGGTTGATTTGGAATGTTATTACGTTGATTTAGATGTTTACGATAAAAACTCCACACTTGGATTGGATGGATCAGTTGGACCTCAAATCACCCTGCCAAAAGAGACTTAAAGTCTATGGAGCCGTA